CCGCGACGCGCGATTTTCGACGCCTCCAATCGAATTCATGGCTAGCAGAAACATATTCATACCCATATTTTTATGTGAACGACTGATCGCTTATTCAGATCGGATTGGAGGAGCTTCCCCGATGACGTAATAGACACCGGCCTAGATGGCTCAGATCTCCCATCCTAGAAGCTTCCGTGAGAAGCAATTCAATTTGAAAGGACCGACGAACGACCTTCCGCCCTTAACGACAAGGGGCGGGACTTTTTGTTCTATAACCAGGAAACCTCCGAGGCCCCTATCTATGTACTCTCGCAGTTTTCCGCGATCAGATTTCTTTCGCAGGCTGCCCTGTAAGCTCGGGAACATGATACTTTCAGGGTGTTTAGAAGACTCTGGAAGGTTCGTTCGGATGTTTTCTCTCTGATGAATGTTTGAAGATGTCCCATGGGAAGCTCTCACATGGATTTTTCCCCTCGTATACTGGGGAGAATCTCAGCTTTCCAGGAGTACAAAGCGAGCCCTTTAGTGGACTGGTCTGAAGGCTCTGCAAGATTGAGAGACTCAAATAATCTAGTCTAGGGAGAGGCTTGTTCTGAGGTCTGCGCTGAAACGCTTCCTGCATTAAATGCAGAAGAAATCGTTCGCTCTGGGAGAGGTACAACGACGACGCGACGGATAGATTCTTATTGGACGGACGTTTCGGGGTTTAATCCGAGGACTCCGAGCAGCTCCGTAATCCGAGGTCGAGAGTCCCTCCTGACTTGCTCCACCTTCGAGCGGCTTCGAGGCAGGATGCCGATAACACAGCAATAATATAATTTCAATGATTTGTGTATCTACATGAAGGACCTCGCCTCCCGGGTCGCAGAAGACCGAATTAGGGGGAGTGCTTGAGAATCAGGGGGGATCTCGAGCGGTCTACGATCGAATCAGGACACCCGGACCCGCTCGCCTCTATACATATTGTCTTTCATTGGTCTTCGCTTTGTGCTTCAATGCGACCAAGCTTGTCTCCGTTTGTGTCAGATTTAATCAGTAATAAAGCTCAGAGGGGGAGGATCCGGTGAGGGATTTGCGAAACCTCGAGGCGCTCGCAGATCGCCGCTTGATCAGTTGCTCACCACCTCGTCCCTTGGTTAATTTCGCTCTCTTTTTCGGGCCGTAAGGGAAGCTCGGTGCTCCACGTATGGTGGGCGAGGTGGTGGTCGCTCGAGCGACGGGGAGTGTCAGTGAGACACGGTCATAAACTCTAAAAATTTAATTTTGCTAATGCTTGCGATCAAGTCCTCCCGCACAATACCGATAGCACGGTCATTGCATGGTACAACATGAATGTTGTTCTCGCGAGAACACTTTCGAACATTTCCACGGGGCCGTCCGAGTTCTCGACGGAATGGAAGCCGGACACGCGACAGATCTCGATGGATGGAAAGTACTTCACACGTCCCCGCACCTCTCCACCGCGTGGGATTATTCCTTTTTCTCAGAGGATGGAAATGTCGACGCCGGGCTTTCGTCACGAGAGTTTACCCGCGATATTCCGGTTCGCAGAGAGAGAGAGCAGGTTCTGCTTCGGAACTCGCGCGCCCGTGCTCGCTCTCGTTGAGCGGAATAAAATTTTTCACGTCTTCACTCGCATCGGCGCAAATGGCAACGCTATCTCTCCGAGCACTTGGAGCGAAGTACCACTACAGGCCGAGTGCACGAAGCCTTCTGTGCGAGTTTCGGAAGACGTGCAGGCGAGGGCCACTCCCCGAGACATCAGGCACACGAACGAAGGCAACAGAAAGGTGTCTGGAATTCACGGCGCGATAAAGAAAGGTACCGCGTGCGAGCCACGCTTGAAAGAGGGCAAGCAACTCGACAACGAGAACAATACTCGAGCGTTCCACCTAGTTTGCTCCTTCGCTCACTCACTCGTGAAACAGGGAAGAGATTCTTATTCACACAGAGGGAAGACACATTTCTCTTAGGTCCACTGTTTCAAAGAACAAGTCACCCGAACATTCACTCTTTTTGAAGGTCTCCGGAGAACTTCGACGTTTTGCGCGGTATCCGCACCGTGTCCTATACGTTGACTTTCTCCCCGCGCGCCACCGCTCCGAGAACCCCTGGAAGTCACTTTTGGATCACCCTCAGAGCAATGACAAAAACCATATGGAGACGCGAACGGGTCTGCTAACATTAGGACTAGACCAACTTGCCATCATGCCGAGAAGGTTTTCGAATGAAACTCACTTCCGGCTGATCCAACGAGACCGAGGCACAATTAATAAAAGGACACACACTCGCAGTCGGGGCATGAAACATCGCAACAACGCCGGCGCAGGGAATACGGCTTTCAGACCCCTCTCACACATGCGTTCAGGTTCAGGTACGTCGCGGCGCGCAGGCGGTCGCGTCAGAGCTTCCTGTCGGATGTCACTACGAGAGACGGAAAAGGCTCGTTTGCTGCCTTCGCACCTCAATCATACGTAGCGCTTCGCCTCCGCAACCGAACATGAGCGACCGAATCTGAGGGCTGCTCTTCTTCAAAGCAAACAGCTCGCGGCCGCGGTGGCGCACCGCTCTGAGATCTAAAAATCTACGACGTAAGGCTATTGAACGAACGCGTTTCCGCGTTGTCGGTTATTGCGCGGAAACGAAAAGACCCCTCGTAGAGCCAAGTTTCCGAGCTTGTCGAATAACAATGTTCCCAGTTTTCCCTTCGGCTGAGGTTCAGAGCAGAAATAAAAGGCAAGAGAAAGTTGGGTTGTTTGTCGATGAGATCTATTTTCGACGGCCGACTCAGAACCGGGCCAGTAATGAAGTTGGTGTTTGCCTTTGTTCGTTGATCCAGCACATTTTGATGAATGCCTTCACGGCCTCGCAAGTATGGTAATACTTAATCGTTGTATACAGATTGAGTTCGGAGGCTGATCGACAAGATGATCATACTAATTGACGGATCGAGATAGTATGTTATCGAGCTCGTTGATTATGATCGAAAAACGAAAACACGGCTTGTTTTCGATTCTCTCCCCGCGCCGGTTTGCATAATTCTCATTCCTACGGGCAGTTTCTCCGAGCGACGCCGACCCATACAGGCACGCGATAAACAATCAGGGAAGGAAAAATTCACCGAGATTCATGCTGCTTAATCCTGAGAATATATCGATGCGGGCATAACCTTTCTCGATTCTGTCGAGGATTGCGGATTTCGATCTGCATGGCAATCCCTCCCGATTACCTTGCACGGACCCGTGCATGCAGGAATCATACTCGCTCAGGTCGGAGCGGTCGAAGCGATAGGAAGAATTCCGTGAAAGAGAAAGTTGTCGTCGATCGGTTTCACCGGGTCGTCTCTCTACGCTTTTCATTAGCACGATCAGAGTCGACTTCCGGCTTACTAGCTCAGATGGGAACAAGGGAAGATCGCGGTTTCGTTTGGGGCACGCGTCATCATCTGGCGAAAGCTCTCTGGCCTACCCGAATCAATTCTCTCGTTGGGAGTGGGGCTCATACGGACCGAGGGGCAGACCGATCATTCCGTGAAAATGCACCCCCCTTCGCCTGGACGTCGAAAGTTAATTTGAATCGTAATCTTCTGTCCCTCCTCGGGGAATAGACCGAGGGAGCACGACCGTCAAAAGAATGAAGAGGAGAGCTTTTGTTCTTTCGGATGTCTTTCTCTATCACTTATTTTCGCTCTGAATATAGAGTCGCCGGCAACCTTGCCGGTGCCTTAGGTCGGGGCCATTCTTTCATAGAGTCACGACAACATTCAGCATGCTCGCTGGCTGCGTGCAGACTCACACAAAGACCAATGCTGGGATTCCTTGGGAATTTGCGAAGTGTTGAGTCAATCAGAAAGGGTTCCACAAACGCCGGCTCGAAAGCGGGACCCTCGAGGCATCCTCGAGTCAATGAACTCTCGGGCCCCCACCGTGGAATTTCAACTTTTTACTCTGCCTCTGTTTTCCCAGCAAACATTCCGTCGCTGAAGTTCGGAACGACCTTCAAACATCATCAAATGTTGATTTTCTCAACGGCGCGGCGGTGGAACATGAGAGTGCTGCACACGGTCGTGCTGAATTCCGACTTGGAAAGCCCCATCGAGGCGGAAAGTGCATCCGCAAAGACCTAAGTGATCGCTGGGAAATTCGGGCAAACGTGGATCGAGGAATTATTCAAGGAAGCTCGGAGCCATTAAGAGCGATTCGAGACGTCGAGCTTTTCCTTCTCATCCGATAAGTGGAGGTTCGATTGGAATCCAGAGGGAAGAGTCAAGAATGAATATAGGGAAACGGTTCCCAGAACTCTCCCAGATTGCGCTGGGTTTTCTACTCATGTATCTCTCTTTTTTTCAGTCTCTTCAATTTTCTGAAAAAAAAAGCGACTACATAGACGATATTCATGAAGACAGGACCCGCCGCGCCGAGGATTTAGGCGGACTCTCCCCGATATTCGTGTGGGAAATAATTAGCTGATTCCGGATGGGGTGTTCTGTTCGCTTTTGAGAGCCAAGTTTCGCTGCCGTTCTTGAAGGAAGGAGTCTCTGGAACGTCTCCGAAAGAGCCCACACAGTCATCAGCGAGAAGAAGCAGTCCGTTTTTATCCCGAGAAGACAGACAACCCGACCTCATTTCTCGGCCGGGTCCTCGTTCCCTCCGAAACGTTCGTCTGAGATACGGATAATGAGAAATAATTTATGAACTACCCGCTATTGTGACTCCGGAAACCGCTGAATGCTCGAGGACTCTAGAGTTTTTTGGACGAATCTCGCGGGGATCGCAGCGAAGATGCGGAGTCTTGCGTCGCTGGCCACGGTGATCGTAGGTGAAACATGAAAATCGGAATCCCCATTTTCCACACTTTGGGCTCGTTTATTATTATCAGCATCAGCATCAGCATTAGGAGCTCGGGGAGCCTGGTAGCTTCCAGACCAGCTGGATGTCCCCCATGCAATGGGTTCCCGTGATTTGATGAAAGTCCATCACAGGCTTACATGACAGCGCACTGATAAGCCAGGGATGAATTTAAAATATATTTCTTGGAAACTCCCACTGACCCTCTTTCATACCGCAGAGAGCTACCAGGGTGGGGTTCAGAGGTGGACTCATCCTGCCACGCCTCTGAGGTTTTTGTTGCGAGCTCGGAGCGACCTCGTTGAACACCTCGTTGCTGCCATGTGACAATTGCGAAAGGCACTCCTGAAAAATTGACTCGAGTAACGCCTCTGACAGTGAGCTTTGTTGATATGATGCGCAGAAACATCGTCAGCCCTCGAGCTCCGCTATGTTAAAAACCAACATGACTATCGCATCTACAATGAACCCAACAGCGAAGTCTGACCAGGAACTGTCTGAGCGGATAAGATCGCACGGGGATCCAGCAACGGAGCCTCGACTCCAGGAACTCTCAAACTTACGAAAAACTCCTCGTTGGCCTCTCGAACGTCGGGGAAATCCGCGGGGTGGATCTCGTGACGGGCCTGCATGTAGAGATCGATGTGCGAGAAATAGTACATGCACTGGAAGGCATTTGGAGCGAAGTCCGGTTCGACCCCGAATTTTATGAGCATCTGAAATGCAAGAAGGGCACTCGTTGATGAGTTGGGGAACCTGCGGACCCCATCAGACCGGGAAGCCTCAAATGTCCCGAGACCTAATCGAGGAGGGATATTGGACGACTCACCTCGCCGATCACAGCGTTGGCCTGAGACTTTGTGATATTGGAGTTGAAAAGGGGGTTCTCGCATGCCTCTGCAATTCGAAATTCTCTCAATGCATATTCCTTTTCTATGAACGATTTCCCAGAGCCGAGAGTGATAATGGTCTGGATCATTCGGCTTCGATCTTACGAAAAAACCTCAAGGTCAATCGTCGTGTACAAATGTATACTCACTTTCAGGAATTTTAGTGGTCACTGCGGCTGAGACCTCACGGAGCAGGATCAGGAGCGCGAACACATGAATGAACTTGGCGTTCACTGCGCTCGATAAAGTATTGTGAAGCATGCCGTAATGCACAGGGCGCGTTCTGCTCAGCACTGAAGCGTCAACAAGAAGCTCTTTCAGATTTAACGTTGCGTCGACGGCAAGGAGAGGGTTGCCGAAGTTGTTGCCCACCGGTGTTCTACTAGAGGCAATGAGCTCTCTACTACAAGACCGATTGGTGAGCGGACGATGTTGAAAATCGTTCCCCCGTGCTTTGATGAATAACGACCATGAAAGGCAAAGGACATGCATTCCCAGGGCGAAGCATATCCCGCTAGATAGCAGCACCAGCCGAGAACTGCCTCTCGTGAGGTTTCCCCAACCAATATGTTTCTTCCGAAGAACCCGGAGGGCTCCGAGGACGTGATCGATTCTCGTCTCGTTAATGTCGCCCCTGTCGATATTGGTGACGTGGAGCACGGACTTAGAGTTCCGAAACTCACTCTCGATGGCTGGAAACTGTCGAAAAGTCCACTTTGGACTCGTTCCCTCATCGATCCCTGGAATTGTATCGAAATACGGAAGAGTTATCAATCATCAGCTGTGATCGTTTTATGATTCTTTCCGATTATGAGAGACTTTAATCCACGGAGGAATCAAGCAATCTTCACTATCTACATTGCCTCTCCCCGAGTTCCTTCTCAACTTTGTCGCTTGCTCGGCACCTTGGCATCCTTTTCCCACTAGAACTATCAATTGCAGCCATCGAGGGGGGAGCGACCGACTTCCGCCCCCACAATGAACCGTTGAACGACGTAAAATCCTGATCCCGGTTCGCGGAACGGAATTGCCACAGAGGAGAGTCGATTCAAAAACTGTGTCAAAATCCGCCGTCTTGCCAAATGTGGAATCGACCGCGAGGCGATCCTCATGTCGAGCGTCTGAATCTGGAGGGTATCAGATGAGTCCAGTTAGGACTTATGACCATGATATCGTCCATATATTATATCCTCCACTCTGGGGAGAATCATGATTAATTCATTCGTCAAGCCGCTAAAGAAATCGCGGAATTCCTCTCGGAAACGATTTTCGCGTTTTTTCGACCATGATCATTCAATCCAGTCGATGGCCTCATCGCAGGTTGAATCCCGCGTTCAATGTTCGGATTTCGGGACTGAGCAGCTTCAGGAGGAAACCGATGCGATATCTAATCACTAATCACCCTTATCAACGCAAAAACAAACAACCAACGGTGTGTCTGGACGGAACAAGCGTTTGCAACGCAGCGGAGCCGCTCGTAAAGCGTGACGGACCGGCTCCTTTTTTTTCCTTATCAAAAGGTTGCATCGAGAAATATCGATCGTCCTTTGTATCTCCCCAACTGCATCATCTGACCACAGGGCAACTAACCCCTAGTGTTTGCGGTCGCTGCCCTTAACGCAACCGATTCTTCCGGGAATCACGAATATAATTCAGTTGATCCTCGGAACATCTTCGGGTATGACTGGTACTCCGTGCTCCGAAGAAGTCTTCATCGCTGAACTCGATGTTGTTGACGACGACGGACGGCGCCTCCGATCCCTCTACGTGAAATGTATGGAATGTTCCTGATAAATTGTCTCCGAAATTCCTCCGAATGTTGGTGAGGACTGCGACTTCGTGACTTTTCCATAGCGAAATACGATGAAAAAGTCGGAGTAGAAGAGCCGAAATCCCAGATTTACGCTTTCGATTATTTTACGAGCGCTACGCGGCGGCAACACCGTTCTGTGCCCAGCGACACATGGGTTCGCTTTCGGCGCATCGAGACGGACAAAAAAACTGTTGTTAGCAGCTCTGGCTGCCGCCGGGTGAGGAACTATTTTTGTTTTCATTTGTTTTGTAATATACAGACGAGGTGTCTCCACTCGATTACAATTGCATCGTTATGATGCAGATAAATATGTGGGATCAGGGCGACGTCAATCGAGCATCAATTGAGGCGCTCGTTCCGCGACAGTATCGGTGTTGATTACGTGACAGTCGCGCGTTTAGTCAGTCATCGGGAGATCTTTCGCGGAAATATTGAATAACCGGAAAAGTAAGAATTAGGCAACTTCGAGCCATAAATATGAATCATTCAGCTAGTTGAGCAAGGAGTGAGTTATCTTCGGCCATCGGATTGATCAGTCGAGAATGAATCATTGCGCGAAGAATATTCGAGAGAATCAACCCAGAAGAGTTCAATGATTGCCACCGCTGAATGACAGGTCCGCCCCATGCCCGGCTCATCCCGTGCTCGCCTCGTTGGCTTGTCTCCCTTGGATGGAAACTTATTCGCAAACGGATGGGAAGGACGTCGGCGCGACTTCCGTCGGGGTGCCGTCGTAACCTTGACACGGGACTGATGAATCGGAAAAACGGGACTTTCACCGAGCCGTATTTTCCTCCTTAATGCTCTGAAAACTTGGTCTCCCTTGACGTCAATACCGATATGAGAAACGGGCTGACCGTCTTGTAGTTCTCTATTCTTCGTCTTTCAGGATCAAGGAGATCAGGAGAGACTTTCCCCCCGCGAGATGGACTCGAACGACTTTCTGCAAGAGGGAAACTGTAGGTGCAGCTGTTGGCGTGTTGTTCAGCGCTTAGCCAGGCAACCCGACTCGCTTAGACCAAGTGCCCGCTTGCTTGAGGGAGGTGAACAGGGGAAGTAGGTACGAGGACACCAAGAGTCGGGGAGCTGAGAGCCTCCGCTCTTGCGTAGTCCGATCAATCCACTCAGATGGACTGAGCTGGGAACTTATAGTCAAGTGGTCTCTGTTGCCACTGCTAAGTGAGAGCAAGAACGAAGCGCTATTTTGATTTCGGCGGGACATACAGGCTGGATAGACGCAGTTCCGAGGATAACGCCCATCCATATCTCAGCGATAGAAGACTTGGCGGATCGAGCAAGATGGAAATCGATCCCTCATTATCATGGACGAAAATTCTCGAACCACCGACGATACCCTCAATTTCCATCATGATCGTCACGGTATGCACGAATGTGATCACGGGAACGTGGCCCGAACCTTCTACGGGTGTCTGACTTTTTTCGTCTGTCAACCATACCTACTCCGGAGAGAGAGGTGTAGGTGAGGGAGAACGGATGAAATCCGATTTTCACCCAGAAACATCGAGCAGTACCGATCGAAACGTCACCGTTGACAGGAGGGAATCATACGGACCGAATGAAAAAATATACGAATTCCAGGTCTACGCCGAAGACGTCGCGGATTGATCATGATGAAAGGGACGGAGCGGCGGGCGAACCTGTGAGCGCGAGACGATGAATGATGTTTTTTTCCACTTTTGATTTATGGATTATTCTCTACGATCTCCGCGCCGCTAATAGTCGACGAGCCGTCGGCCGAGGAGCCCGCTTCAGACGTGAACACCGACGTGGAAACGTGACGGACGCACAGATTCACGCTTTGAAGAGCCCTTCTCAGGAAGGATTGGCGCACCGAGTTTAGGTCGTACGCCGTCGAGATAGTAGTGGGAACCGTATAAATACCGCGTCGGAATGAATGGAGGCGGTTCTCTCTTGATCTGCACCCTCAAAAAAGCGATTACTCCTCGTATAATTATCATCACAGCGACTCCAGCAATCGTCATCATCACGATCATCCTTGCGTCGACTTCCAAAGTTCGACTAGCTCGGAACACCACCTAAGGAGAGTTGGGAGCTCGTTTCCTCCCTTGAATAGGAGACAGAATATCAAGTCCCAAAATGGGCAGACGCTCGGCTTCATTCCCAAGTTACGACTCTACCATTATCACGTGCTATAAACCCTTCGCGAGTAGTGCTGATCTTATGCTCCGGGTGCTTCCGCCCGCCTCCTAGAAAGATCTCGGCTACAGGGAGCTCCTAGGTTCTCAGTCTATACACGGAATGAGTATAGACTCGATATCGACGAGGCTCCTTCCGAATCGAGGCATAGGGTCACGAAGCAGCCTCCATAGAGACCGGTTTCTCCACATCCGACGCTCATACCATCATAGTAGTGGCAGGTTGGGTCAGTGAGAAAGAAACAACAGCAATTTATGCTTCTGATTCACTTCTGATACCACCGATGACTTTCTCCATTCAGGTAATATTCTATTGAGCCAATCTGGAACGCCTACGATACACAACTTCCGAATCACGAAGTATTGTATTGAGTAGTCTCGAGCGCGGAATTGCCCCCCACCATATCAGCTTGACTCCTCGTCAGAGCCGAGTAAGCAAGGATACACTGTTCTGAATAATAATTTTTTGATCAATCCTTCGCCAAAACTTTCGCTATTCGGAATGGGAGTCCAATGAATGATCGAATGTCAGTTCGAGCGACAACTCGAGTTCGCTTCGCTGGGGTTCCCTTATGATTCGCCGTGAAATTAAGCAGTCGGCAGGAGAGCCCACATCATGCGTAAGCATCATTCCGTGACAGCGGGATCTCGGACCGTACGAAAGCATGTTGAAGTGCGTGAAATGATTTCTCGTCAAGCGGCCGGTAACAAAAACCGGGAAAAGGAACGATGCCAACGTGAATGAGAAAACAGAAAGAACAAGACATGAGAGCCCAGAAAAATACACGGGATTCTTCGAGCCCCGTCAGGAAGTGAGCTGTTGTCAGTCTTGATGCCGAATCGAGCAGGAGCGCCCTGCAGTGGCAGGATCGGCGCTCGTCAAGAATCTTCTGTTCCAACCCACGCTCTGGATGAGCTCACCAGCGAGCTTCGAATTCAAGTTTAGTGGAGCAATAGCTCACACGTCAAGAGACAGAAGTAAGATTCAAAGACTGACTGGCTAGCTGGCCGGCTGACCGAGTGAGTTTACTCTGGAGGGCTGTCGCATCGTTTCTGCTCCTTATTCTCTCACGTGGTCACTTTCAAACACAAAAGGTCCGGCCGAAACGTGCCGCCCGCAACGCCCACCGAAGTGTTTGAGTCGTGTGTTGCTATCTAAGAAGAAGCAGCTCCGACAGTATGGTGAACGCTTCCATTGGGAGTTCGATGCTTTGTGCTTTACAAGCTCAATCGAAAAGATAGGAGGAAACGCAAACGCAATCTTTTCGAAGCGCGGGATAAAGGAGCTCTTCGGTTCCGAGTGGTAAATCAATATCGGCGTGGGTGGGTAGGCGGTCACCCAAAGGACTTACCGTCTATTGAATTCTCAATCTCATCCGGAGAACCTCTCATGTCTGACATTGCGGTACGAATTCCCTTACCTCCGGAGTCCGTAACATTTCGAAGTATTCGCTTTTCGAGTCATCAGCCGTAATCGAAAACAAGGTTGATGCCGGTACGTCGGAAAAATCCTCAAGTCATAATAGTCAAGATCTTCGGATCTCATTCCGGGTCAGCTCTCAGTAAGGGTAAGGGTCGCCTATTTAAGATTTCGATTTTCCCCTTCAACGTAACAGATGCGACGTGTGGATCCGTGGTTGATGGAGGAATGCCTATGGGAAAATTGTCGCGCTCTTTGTCGGTAGCAGGAGTATGAAAGAGTCGCGAACCGTTCCTCAGCTCAGCGATAACCTTTCGTTCCAAGGTGTGGAATCGCTCCGCTCGAGGTCGCGTCTCCAGCTACGAGCGTCAGTTTTTCATTGCTCCACGCTTATCTCAGTGGTCTGAAGCCGATACTTTGTTGTATCCGACCGAGTGTTTTCCTCGATCGTAACTCGTTGTCGTTGTGATAAATTCCCACGTGACAGCGGCGCGTACAGCACTCGCGCAGGCGGTGACGTCATCACCGTTGAGATCTGGAGGAGGTATCAAGAACCGAATGTCACCATGACAAGGCCAAAAAACCTCCGCATGTAAATAATCAATCGAGTATTCCGCTTTCCGGAGAAGCATGTCAATAGTATCAAGATGTGATCAATTGGGGGCGGTTGCGGGGCATCAGCCATTCGAGAAGATATTGCTCGATGAGATTGAGTGTCGTCTCGCAGAGGCTTGCCCCCGATACGGGGTGAGAGATCTTTCGACAGGCTCGCTTCATCTGTGGCGGCAGGCAGCTCCAAAGCGTGAAATTGGCCATTCTAGGCACAGAAGGAATCGCGTTGAGGAAGGTCGGAGATGAGGCTAGATTCGGAATGATGAATGGTGGAATTTCGGATCAAGAAACGCCTCTAGCTCGAAGTTTGTCTCGAAGGACGACTCCCGAGGGAACTCACTGCGAACTGCAGAGACGGAGTGCTCCCTATACCAAATACCAACTTGAGGATCGCAGGTGTGGCGTGTTGCGCATCGCTGGACAAAATGTAAAAGATCCGTGGTATTACCTAATTGTGATTAGGGATGTGCCGCAATCCACATATTTCGAGCGAATTTTCTTGTATATCCGAGGGATTCCTCCCGGATGCTTCGACAAGGGCAGTACAGAAAATCTTATTGGATTTTCTTCGTGCATCGAAATTCTGCATACCTATAAAGCCAGGCATTTGGACACCGCCGATCACAGTTCTAGTGGTGGACAATGACGAAGCGAGTAGAGCACGCAGTGAACGTTGCCATGGCCCAGCTCAGGAGGGCGAATGCCAGCTTCTCGGAAATGATGAAGGTACGAGAATCCAGTCGGAGCCGCTGACATTGGGAGAAAACGCGCGATTCCCCCCGAACGTATTCGTCGACACGATCATCGAGGAAATTCTTATGGCGTTCCTCATCCGTGGGGTACAGCGTGTGCAGAGAAGTAGAGAGACCGCAGGGGTCCTGCGACGCGTCTCCTTTTCGAGGTTTCCCATACGCGATACGTCTGAGTTTAGGCTATCGAAGAACCCGGGGACCCGAGGTAACTTCATCGTTCCCATCATGAGGACCGTGGGGGAACGATGACGTGTCCTCTCGTCATTATCGAGGGTGCGACAATTAGTCAGTGATCACTCTTTCGCCTTCCTCTCGACATCTTCTGCTTGAGCATCTTCTACATGTTTAGACGAGACCAGAAACCGAAACGGCGGACCCCGAATCCGCCACTACACCCTCCAGTGTGTATTGCTCCCTCGAGGAGGGGCTATGGACTTCGTATAAAGAGAAAATTCTCCCTCTTGAACAAGATTACGCTTTTCACTGGTACACCTGTCATTCGCCGCTAATTGAGAATGATTTCTACGCGAAACCAGTGATTCTCGTTATGGGTCCCTACTCGTCAGGTAGGAAGTCTTGGTGGAGGAGATATATCTGCAATCCTCAGAGCAATGCAAACATTGACAGCCTTCGATCGGTCTGCAGGGAAAACCTCGTTCATTCAAAGGCTGACAAGCTGCGCTTATCCTGGGATGAAGATCGGACCCGAGCCAACATCAGACAAGTTCACAATTATCGGATACAGCCCCGAGGACTCGGTCATGCCCGGTGGGGCCGTAGTCGTAGGACGACCGAATAGCGGAGAGTTTTCCAAGTTCGGCCTGGAACGCTTCGGTTCGAGATTCCTCGACCGCCTCCAGTCGGTTTCCATGTGTTCGGAACTTCTACGACATGTGACTCTGGTCGACACACCCGGCGTATTCCCAGGGGCGAAATCGTAAGCGGCGATCCGAGTGATTCTCTCGAGCAGAATCGTTTTGATTATTTGTAGCTGATCGATCGAAAAAATATACATGCATATCATTGGAGCTGTTCGATCACCCTCAATATTATTCATTTGTGCCAGAAGGTGGCCGAATCATTGCTCGGATACATGAATCCGTTCCGCGACTCATGTGAATTTCTCGCTAATCTCCCCGACCTGCTTGAGAGCATGGCTCCGATTTCCGTACTCACGACTGGCTCTCTCTCAGGTACGACCATGCGGGAGCGCTAGAATGGTTTGCCGAGAGGAGTGATCTTATCGTCCTGATGATGGATGTCCTGAAGCCGGACGTACCCGATGACCTCCAGGTGGCCTTGCGAGCTATCAGAAGACAGTCCCACAAGCTGCGAGTGGTCTTCAATAAGGCGGATGAGCTCGCGCCTCTTCAATTGACGAAGGTCTACGGCACACTGCTGTGGTCCCTGTCACAGACTCTCAGGAGCGCCGAAGTTCCGGACGTCTTAATGGGATCTTTCTGGGATAAGGGGGTCAAGGAAACACTTTTCAAATCGGAATTCGACTCGAATTTGGAACGATTGGATAACGAGATTAATGAGCTACCGCGCAGCTCAGCTGTCAGGCGAATCGACCGCCTTGTGAAGCGCGCCCGCCAGGCTCGAGCTCACGCTTTGCTCATGTCCTTCTTAAGGGAGAACTACTTGAACGTGTTGAAAAAGGTAAATATTATTCCCTACGGAAGGCCGAATTCTTCCTATTTTTAGGTCATCATAAGAGATGAGCGTCACTTGCGGCTCCTTCGTGTACTAGATATCTCTCACAGAAAGTATTCGTTACTCAATTCAGTTTCGATTTGTTTCCCATTAACATCATCTCGAACTTGATTATCATGATCCGGTTCGACTAAATGATTTCGTCCTGAGGGGAAAATTCGAGTTGTCTATGCATAATCCCGATTAACCCTCTCCCCCTAATGGTCTGCACAGGGAGCATCGGGTCGTATGTCCGTAGTAGATCTGCAGGAGATCTACGAGCAAGTGGTTAGCAAGCATCAGATCGCTCTTGGAGACCTGCCCGATGCGGCAGTTATGCACAAGAAACTCTTCTGGCCGGTGGATCTTCCTCCAGTTCAGAATGCCAAGCTGTTCGAGAGGATCGAACATTTTCTCGCGGTCGACTCAGCGACCTTAATGAATATCGCGAATCGGAAAGGCCCATTGAAGCTTCAAGCGATATTCGGTTCGCAGCTGCGGAAAGTCGTATCCGAACACATTCCGCCCCTTCAAGGCAAAAAATACACTCGCGTTTTCCAACGGCTCTGTGACAAGGAACTCGAAACCATAAGCCTCGTCGAGGTCAAAAACGCAATCGTCGACGACGGCTGCGGAGACATCGATGTGCTCGATGAGGAAACTTTCACCATGCTGTGGCAGTTCGTCGACGACGATGCACAGGGCCACCTAGCTATGAACGATTTCATTCTATTTATGCATCTTGTCGATCACTGGTGCAGAGGTAAGTTGCAGCCTTGATGGATAGAATTTCCCCTCTTCTCGTCGGAGCCTGATGGATCTCGGGATTGTAGCCTCGCCTTTTACGGTTCTGCTTGCAGGCGAAAAGAACACCTGCCTCTCGCTGGTCGAAAAGTTCATGAAGTCTAGCGATAAGAAGATCGTTTCGGAGACGATTGAGTGAGTGGAGAGGCACCGGCGCACGGGACAAGTCGTTCGCCATTGATTTGACAAAGTCTCCGGATCCATTGCATTTTTTTTCTCTTCCCTCGAAATAAAAGATGGAGACTGTACCCTCGACCGTGAAGATTTCCTGCGATTGCAAAAGTAACAGAAAAATTCCGTCGATGTGGTATACTCATAAACGAGGTCAGCTCATTCGAGTCTGGCGGCGCTAGAAGCACTCGCATGTCAGATAGATGTTCTGGTGGCGATCGGTACCGCAGACAGATACCGTGAAAGCTTCGGATCCGGAGAAGGGGATCAAAACAAATGCTTGTCAAGCCTTTGAGACAAGCCCTTGGTGGGCGGCTGTCTCTTCTATCAGAGCGATTTTTTTTTGAGAGTTTTCTGAGAATGAGAGCTACTCGTAGAAAAATGCATCTTTCTGGCCGTTTCACTAGCCACACAAGACGGTGAGCAATGGCCAGAGAGGATTTTCGGAGACAGCCAAAAACTCGTCGGACCGAAATTCGAAACGCGCGACCAAGCATCGCTCGGATGCGGAGAATGATCTCGATTGTGAGGGAAGGATGACTTCGAGGAATCCATTCGATATTCCTCGATATCAGGCGATACTAATAAAATCGGTCCTCCATCAATTTATTGATCGAATTCCTATTCCGATACAATCCGTGCGATACAGTCTGAGGCTCCCTTCCGTACGCATCCTTTCTGGCTCGAGCGTCGCCAATTCATAGGCGTATGTTATGCGGTTATTTCAAAGGGATCGAACTCGCCCCCAGAATCAATTCGAATAGACGAGACGCTCTGTTCTTCGCGGCGCGGCAAGTCCTCTTTGACATACAAAAAAATAAATTATTTCGATATTGCTCCTTTCTGACTCATGCGCGAGGAGCTCCTGAGAGGCACCACTTTTTTGAGGGAATGCTACGGACCTGACGAGCTTGTCCAGAATCAACTCTTCTGAGCGAAAAACAACAGAAGCCTCTTGAGTATGCGAGATATTCAACGTCAGGATGGAGAAGGCAAGTCGACGAATTCTGGTTTGTCTCCCAAGTCAGGCAAGATACGAGCTCGATTCGGACGGAGGGGCAAAAAAGGGGCCTCGTCGTTGAGCATTCGGCCCCTAATCAGGGCAGGATATCGTTTTTTTTCTTCTGTGTGTTCGCTCGGCCTACCTTCCGCACATGGTGAGTCTCATCGAAGTGAGCCATTGCCGCACCAATGGCACACTTCGCATTCGAAGACGTTGCGGCTCAGAAAGTCACACCGACAGGGGAGCTCTCCGTGAGACTTTTGTTTCACGTCTCGCTAATCGGATCAGATTATGACTGACACGAGACACGTGCCACGCGGCGGCACATCATCAGAGCTTTGCATATAAACAACTCGTAAAAAGTCGCAAGTGTATTATCATTTCCAAGCGGGGCTCGTCGTCTGCACTCGAGTCATTTTCTTCCATCTTCACGGCGAAGCTCTGAACCCGAGGCGGAAGTCTGATGGGTCGCATGCAGCAGGGAAGAAAGCTCGGACACATTCCCTGTTGTGGTTTCATTCATTCGTTTCTGTCCGCTCGGTTCATCCGCTGACGGCGACCATTGTCTTTCGGTGGTATTTTCCGGAGCAAAGAAATAATGCTCATCAGTCAGAAATCGGGAAATCCAATGATGTCGTACGATTAATCAGCGAAGCCCGGGATTTCGCGGTGAATCTCATACGGTCGGAAAGCTCTGCTCTGGTTCTCGCCTTCCGTGGAATCAATTGTCGTGAGCGGACTAGCCCCGAATCCATCACCACGCATTTTCGAGGGAGGGATTATCACGTATTTCTTCCAGAGATCGATTATCGGGGGAGGAGGGCACGAGGTCCCAATCCTTGGATCCTCATTGTTTCGAGGAGATTTTTCGACCCCGTTCTTAGAGGAAAGTCTATGTTTCACATGGATATTGCGGAATCGACTGTAGATATCCTTGGGGAACAGCATGCTATGCCACCAGCGAGAATGCGACTCAAGCGGAGTTTTTATCCTAGCCGTGCGGATACACGAAGTTGGCTTTCCAGCCCTCGCGGTGGTGGGTTTCCAGCCATCGACAGCTCAAACGAAACGAGCGATGCTGGTGATCGAATTGCGAGCAAGCTGACGCTTTGACGAAGAAAAACAATTTCAATCAAATTTCTGCTTGAACGGGCCGCCGACAATCCCTCCTACATTCTCAGTCACTTTCTTGATTCGAGTGCCATAATAATGGACGGACGGACGTAGAGGCAGGAGCTGCAGCTGTTACCATGCTCTCCTTGATAGCCCATCGTCTCCTTCAGAAGAGGGGTCAGATTCAGCTCGTGGTCTCTCCGTGGGAAGATCGAGGAATGATCTCAGATGATCCCCATGATTGGAATAATAGTTGAACGAGTCGTCCTACGGTCGCGACGTATCTTCATGGAGAGGACCAGATGAGCTCCTTAGCTTCAGGACTTTCGTTAATTTTCCGTACATTGCGTTCTGACCCTTCCATCCGCCGGATCTTGACATTCTTATATCTGCAAATAATGTGTGACAATTTTCGGGATGATTTTCCGATCCTGCGAAAACCCTTCCCCGTCGGTTCTAACGCTCGTTCTAAATTATTGATCCGTGCATAGTAAGTATGTATACATATGTATATACATCAGACAGAGGAACCCGTTTATGAGAAACCCCTCGGGGCAGCCGGAGAAGTGTCTTATATCCGGCCTCTTCTTGTATCTGCGTGTTTTGTAAGTGGGTTCGACTGTAGGGATAATATCTGTGACGTGTGATCGATGGCGGGGCTGACGAATCAATCGAGTGATGGCTATCCGATGTCTTACGAAAACATTTGTATGTCCTTCTCCTCATCAACGGTTGATCGTTCGCAAGCCCGTGAGTCTGTGGGAACTTGGATCCTGCGCTAGCGAAAAGCCTCCTGAATTCATCAGGCGAGCTCATTAATCACGGTGCTTGGCTCAATCAGGATTTTCTGGGATGAAGAATATTCGGCAAAGGTTGGACTGTGCTCCACTGCTGGCGGAACTTCTCTGCAGCGAAATCGGCAATCAGAAGTCGTACCGGGCTCGAACTCATCGGAGTGGCAAAAGAGACGCTCTAATCTCGATAGAGCAGGCTCATGACCTTTGAGTGCGCAGAAGTTCCCTGTCGGAGCCTTCTCCGATCTTTACCGTGAATCACTCATGATCATTGATTTGGTATTTTCGACAAGTTTCTTGGTAGTGGAGAACCTCATTGATTGCGGTACGATTAGAATGGCCTCCTCATATCGAGCTGAATCTCCTGGCGGGAATCCTTCCGGAGCCCTACGCCCAGCTCTCCTGAGTCGAAATGCCTCCGGATTCCGGATACGACCCACCCCCGTGGATGATGTGTAATTTTTAGGATTGATTGCGAAGCTTCCATGCAGCCGGGGAAATCTCCGACGGGTGTTCCGATTCTCGTTCCGGATCGTATTTTCTTCCGAATTTAACGCCGCGGAATCGCCCGAAGAAACGAAGCCCGGTACCGCGGATTGAGACTAAACCAATGATACCTGTGAGCTATGTTTCATTTTGAATCTGAGGGTCACATCTCAGAGGCAGCGCAGCCGGTGGTCATTGTGGCCCCTCGTTTGATTCGTAACAGACTCCGTAATTATGACGAAATGTTTTCGTCGGTGTATCGTGTGCTGATATGCGTGTATTTTTCCCGCTCAGTCGGGAGAGAGAAAACCTCGCAAAATCGACCCTTATCATATCGGTCGCCAGCAAGTTCGATTGAAAGCTATTTACCGTCGCCAGAGTCAACTACCGGTGGTATTTACGAGCCAGAACTGTGAATCGAATCCAATGACAGTGAAGCCGTCATCCCCCATTATGAGAGCGACGATGCCGGCGATAGTGAAGCGAATCAGGCCATTAACATCTATGTATCTCGAGGAGGGGATCATAGCTAGAAGAAGAAGAAACGGCTTCTGCCGGACGACGTGTTGAGTTTCAGCGGGAATATCACAGGAAGTTATCGATATGAATTCTCCGGACATTCACCAGATCGGAACCGCGGAATGGAGCTCAGAACGTGAGCCGACGATTAAGTTCACAGATGCGAACCGCTTTAAAATATCGTACACGTAATCATCCGACTTGTATCGGGGAGGAAATTATTCGTCGTCACGCTTCTCAGGAACGGCTTGTTTCTCTCAAACTTCCCCAAGCTGAAGCTAGACCATTGTCGGACGTTTTTCATCTCAAGACTACCCTCGAACCCGGCGCGGTGCGGGAGACCTGGGAGGTTTTGGTGCCAAGAACTTCCCTAGAGTTAGCTCGATTCAGGAGCGGCGCTCGAAAGATCGTGAGCCAGCGTCAGTCCTGGAACGGAGGGCGTCACTGACGGACGACACAACGACAAGTGGCTGATACGGATCTGCATCGGCCACGATGGCCATTTCGAGCTCTCAGCTACGTCGGATTCCCTGATCTCCATCGAGAGCCTCTCTAACTAAGTTCCTCTAACTGATTCCGTAATCATCTCCCCCGCGATCATCGCTGAGCCCGCTGGGCTCAGAAAATTTCCGATGGATCATGGGTTCGCCGATAGGGTCAATGACTCACAGCGACATATTGGAAGCGAGACTCGATTGACATATTCGGAGCCGAAATCCGATGAATTAATTTCGTCGATTAATCGCGTAATTTGGGTAGACGGTACTATCGATTCTCCTGATCCTCCTTCTACGTAAAAGGGACCGTGTACCTTAATTATTCTCCGTGCATGAATGAACGGACCCCGCCCGGAAAAGGGAAATTTTTCTAGTCTCACTCAGTCCGATATATTCCCTCGTCTCTCACTTTTTTCTCCCATTGTGAGCCTGCTGAAAGCTCCTTCATAAGATATCCGTCAATGAGAGTCCCATCATTCGATAATGTTGCAAAGAATTGGACGCTCCCGGCTCCGTGACGTCTGAGAATTCACAGAACGGTCCCGGCCGCGAAAGA